CCTCCTGAGGCGTCTTGGCTGAGTTGGTACACACCTGATATTCACCCAAGATTCTTATCAAACTCCTGCCTCTGAGTCCGGATGCCAGTCATGCCCAGGGCTATCTGGCTCCTCGGGCAAGCCAGGCAATCACGGCAAGTAAACATGGCCTCAAGCTCCAGACTTTCTGCCGAGACTTGCACAAATCAATTCATGTGCTTGAATGAACTGGAACACTAATTCTGCTCGATTGGGGCATCGGTGTTGGGCTCTCTGCTGAGCTTTCAATGCCTTGCAGTGTTTATTCATGGTCGAAAGCATTGACGACCCAACGCAAGAGAAATGGGGTCTTTCCTCACTGCACACCCCGCGTGCCAGGGCAAACAACTGGTCCTCAACCTGCCCTTCTCTTGAATCCTGGCCATGCTGAGGACTTGCCGGCCGTGAAGTCACCTCAAGCATTTTTATTCTCACGAAACCCAACATGCGCAAGCATGACAGCCAGGAAATGACTCAGTTGACGTTTTGCAGTGTTTGGCCACGCCTCTGCAAGCTCTGCGTGCCTCAGAAGTGCCTCGGCAACCTCTGCATCTGCCTCGACTGAGGGCGAGGGCTCCTGAGAAGAAATGTTCATATGCGGAACTATGGAGCAAATTGGAGTGCTTCAAGACAGAAGGAAGAGTCATTACAGTGACTCCACGACAAAATACAAACGCGGTTCATTAATTGCGATGCAATACATTATGCAGTCAAACGTGCTTGCTGTAGCGGTTCAAGTCGGGTCAACATATCTGTGCAGTATGCGAAGTACGCTTTGATAGTTTAAGCTCGCAAATCGCATATTATTCTGAGTGCAAGTGTAGTATGCAAGCTGCGCTTTGTCAACTCCAGCTCGACAATTGCAACGATTCGAGACCGGCGCACTGCGCCATTGCTACTGCTGCTGGCTAGCCAAGCAGCTGCACAGCTGACAAGCTTGTTCGCGCAATGCACATCAAACCCTCTCTTCCACCTGCAGGTCCGGCTCAAGAGTCGCAACATGTCGCAACTTCACAGGGAGAACACGAAGCACGCTTGTGGCCCAGCTTGAAAGTCGCTACTTTTCGTACAAGTTACGCGCGAAGTGCGCTTACCCAGCTCTGGCTTGATTGCCATGAGAATGAGACGCGTTGCCAGTTGCGGCATGATATGACGCTAAGCGTTGTGACACGGCACTAGTCGAAGTGCCGCGGACAGACCCGCAAAGAATGCGACCCGCAGCTCAGATGGAATGCCCGGCACTGTGGGCACTCGCCGCGGCTACCCTTGCGCGCTTCTGGTAAAAGGGTCAACACGGAGCCTATTGCTAGGCTCAACAAGAGCCGCAAGCTTTCAGCCGAAGGAGAGATTGCCATCTGATGGGCCGGGCTCCAGGAACCCCAAAGCCTATGAGCCTATGTCGAGCATCGTCCTTGCTGTCTCTGTCCGACCCTGTCCCCAAGTTGGCACGCGCCGGGAACAGCCAGTTTGCACGTGAACAGCCCAGTTGGCGCCTGTATACAATCTTCTGCACCCATTCAGGTTGAGTTAAGCGACCAATATCCTGAGCAGTGTTGCCCGTTGAAGCTTGTTGCCGGGCTTCGCGCATTGCGAAAAGAGTGACCTGATGTGAGTTGAAACGACGTGTTGTCTCAAGAACCAAACAGAAGCAATCTTAAGACATTGGAGCAAACGAAACAGGAAGGTAGTAACAACATACGAGAAATGTGTGGTTCATAAGCTGTCAGGAAAAGCAACTGGCAACTCGTCCTGGACGACATCACCGCCATACTGAGGACTAACTGGCCGCGAAGCCTCCTGAGGCGTCTTGGCTGAGTTGGTGCACCCTGATACTCACCCGTTCAAGTTTCAGACTTTCTTCCGAGACTAGCACACAATTCGATTCATGTGCTGGAAGGAACTGGAACACTGCAGAATTGCTCGATTGGGGCATCGGTGTTGGCTGAGTTTTCAATGCTTTGCAGTGCTTCCTCATGGTCGAAAGCAGCGACGACCCAACTACGCAAGGGATGCTGACGAGAAATGCCACCCCGAGTCAGGACAAACAAATGGTCCTCAACTTGCCGTTCTCTTGAATCCTCGCCATGCTGAGGACTTGCCGGCCGTGAAGTCACCTGAAGCATGTTTATTCTCATGAAACCCAACATGCGCAAGCATGACAGCCAGGAAATGATTCAGTTGACGTGTTGCAGCGTTTGGCCACGCCTCTGCAAGCTCTGCGTGCCTCAGAAGTGCCTCGGCAACCTCTGTATCTGCCTCGACGGAAGGCGAGGGCTCCTGAGAAGAAATGTTGCACGAAAGGGGTGCTTCAAGGCAGAAAGAATTCTTAAAGTCTTTTGAATGCAACATGCAAACACGCTGAACCAAAATCAACACATGTTGAATTACGCCGCAACGCGTGTAACATACGGTCTCAACACGTGAACACGTGACATGGTCGCGGTAGTGACTGAGCGCTTGCCTTGTATATTGTCTGAGGTTTGATATCATATGACCCGGTATGATATGATTGATGCCAGGTACAACGCGCTGTGACACTGTGATTCGGTACAAGTCCACGCCGCGGTTAACACCCCTGAGATCAAACGGAACAGGAAGGTAGTAACAAGATGAGAAAAGCTAGTGTAAGCTGTCAAGCAAAGCCACTGGCAACTCGTCCTGGACAACCTCAACGCCATTCTGAGCACAATCTGCCCGCGAAGCCTGAGGCGTCTTGGCTGAGTTGGCACGCCCCCGAGCCAGCGTCAATACTTGCTGCGTGGGCATTCAGTCTATAGTGAGTCCCCTATTCTTCGCGCGCCCAATGAGCCCTCGGCAGGGATCGCACGCGAGCCGCTCTCACTGCGCGCGAGCGCGTGAAGCGCCCGATCAATGGGAGGAGTGCGAGAGCGCAACCCTCGTGCGACGTGCGAGTTTGAAAAGCGCCCGATGAACCCACTGGGATCCTGCGGGAAGCGCTCTCGCTGTGAAGGCGTGCGAACTTGACAAGCGCCTGACGTTCCTACTCTACCGGCATGCGCCAACAGCACCCAAGCAACGCGCCGTGCAGTCAGGCAGGCTTAGTGTGAACTGAATACTTTGAATCTTGCGGCTGCAGCTCTTTGAGGACCGCGTTGACTTTTTTTTCGCCGAAGGAACTGCGCTTGTCTTTTGTAAGCAAACACACTAGGTCTCACGTTGGCTTCTCCGTGACATTGTCAGGGCATCGATCGGGCATCAACCGGTGTATCGTTCTGGGCGCGTGTCATGTCACTTTGCGAAAAAGCCATTGGAGCCTAGCAAACATGCGCAGGTCACTTATGTGATCGGCGAATGGCACTAACTATGCTTGGTGAAGGGTCGGGCGGGCCCAACCATCGGTTTAGGAGGTTTTGCTTGCTGGCTGCAACGTCCAGGTCGCAAGTTGCAACTTTCAGTATAAGCGCGGTACACAAGTCACACTTTGGCAGCTCCAGCTCCAAGGTCGCAGCTTTCGCCCCACATGACACTTGAGTAAGAAACTTCATGATCGAATGCATGATGTTTGCAAACCATGTTCAAGCGGGTATCGCTTTATGTGAGCTCTCTATCGCTCTCCAAAGCAAATGCAAAAACCCAGTCTTGAAATAAGATGCCTTTACCTGAGTAGTCTTTGATAATTCAGAAGTTGCTCCAGTAAACATGGCCTCAAGCTCCAGACTTTCTTCCGAGACTTGCACAAATCAATTCATGTGCTGGAAAGGAAAGGAAGCCGGAATTTGGAGACTTGCCCAACTATGACATCTCTGACCTTTGCCTTCCGCCTTCTGCAATATCCCCCTCTCGCGCCTCATCACGGGGACCATCAGCCGTCACAGGCTCCTGCACGCTCTGGCTGCTGGGACCGTGCAGTCATAAGATTCCTCACAAAGTTAATCTTGCTGTCAGACTCAATCTGCAACAGAAAAATGGTTGCTGTTGGCTTTTCTCCATCCTTGGTATTTCCGCGCTATTGTTGAGAAATACACTGCTCCCCCCAGAGCATGAGTCAATAGGTCTGGGCATCCGTCTGCAGAATTGCTCGATTGGGGTATCGGTGTCGGGCCCTCTTCTGAGTTTTCAATGCCTTGCAGTGCTTCTGCATGGTCGAAAGCATCGACGACCCAACAAAGCGAGGGATGCTGACGAGAGAAATGGGGTCTTTCCTCACTGCACACCCCGCGTGCCAGGGCAAACAACTGGTCCTCAACCTGCCCTTCTCTTGAATCCTCGCCATGCTGAGGACTCACAGCAGGTGAAGCCTCCTGAGGCGTCTTGATATTCACCCAAGATTCTTATCAAACTCCTGCCTCTGAGTCCGGATGCCAGTCATGCCCAGGGCTATCTGGCTCCTCGGGCAAGCCAGGCAATCACGGCAAGTAAACATGGCCTCAAGCTCCAGACTTTCTTCCGAGACTTGCACAAATCAATTCATGTGCTGGAAAGGAAAGGAAGCCGGAATTTGGAACTTGCCCAACTATGACATCTCTGACCTTTGCCTTCCGCCTTCTGCAACATGTAAACCCTCGCGCGCCTCATCACGGGGACCATCAGCCGGCACAGGCTCCTGCACGCTCTGGCTGCTGGGACCGTGCAGTCATGAGATTTGCAGTCATAACATTCCTCACAAAGTTAATCTTGCTGTCAGACTCAATCTGCAACAGAAAAATTGGTTGCTTTTGGCTTTTCTCCATCCTTGGCATTTCCGCGCTATTGGGAAATAGACTGCTCCCCCCACAGCATGAGTCAATAAGTCTGGGCATCCGTCCGAGCATTGGTCAGGGCATCGCTAGGAAACAAAGCTCCTCACTGCAGAATTGCTCGATTGGGGTATCGGTGTCGGGCCCTCTTCCGAGTTTTCAATGCCTTGCAGTGCTTCTGCATGGTCGAAAGCATCGACGACCCAACAAAGCGAGGGATGCTGACGAGAGACATGGGGTCTTTCCTCACTGCACACCCCGCGTGCCAGGGCAAACAACTGGTCCTCAACCTGCCCTTCTCTTGAATCCTCGCCATGCTGAGGACTCACAGCAGGTGAAGCCTCCTGAGGCATCTTGATATTCACCCAAGATTCTTATCAAACTCCTGCCTCTGAGTCCGGATGCCAGTCATGCCCAGGGCTATCTGGCTCCTCGGGCAAGCCAGGCAATCACGGCAAGTAAACATGGCCTCAAGCTCCAGACTTTCTTCCGAGACTTGCACAAATCAATTCATGTGCTGGAAAGGGAAGGAAGCCGGAATTTGGAACTTGCCCAACTATGACATCTCTGACCTTTGCCTTCCGCCTTCTGCAACATCTCCCTCGCGCGCCTCATCACGGGGACCATCAGCCGGCACAGGCTCCTGCACGCTCTGGCTGCTGGGACCGTGCAGTCATAAGATTCCTCACAAAGTTAATCTTGCTGTCAGACTCAATCTGCAACAGAAAAGTTGGTTGCTTTTGGCTTTTCTCCATCCTTGGCATTTCCGCGCTATTAAGAAATACACTGCTCCCCCCAGAGCATGAGTCAATGGGTCTGGGCATCCGTCCGAGCATTGGTCAGGGCATCGCTAGGAAACAAAGCTCCTCACTGCAGAATTGCTCGATTGGGGTATCGGTGTCGGGCCCTCTTCTGAGTTTTCAATGCCTTGCAGTGCTTCTGCACGGTCGAAAGCATCGACGACCCAACTACGCGAGGGATGCTGACGAGAGAAATGGGGTGCCAGGGCAAACAGCTGGTCCTCAACCTGCCATTCTCTTGAATCCTCCCCATGCTGAGGACTCACAGCAGGTGAATCCTCCTGAGGCGTCTTGATATTCACCCAAGATTCTTATCAAACTCCTGCCTCTGAGTCCGGATGCCAGTCATGCCCAGGGCTATCTGGCTCCTCGGGCAAGCCAGGCAATCACGGCAAGTAAACATGGCCTCAAGCTCCAGACTTTCTTCCGAGACTTGCACAAATCAATTCATGTGCTGGAAAGGGAAGCAAGCCGGAATTTGGACACTTGCCCAACTATGACATCTCTGACCTTTGCCTTCCGCCTTCTGCAACATCTCCCTCGCGTGCCTCATCACGGGGACCATCAGCCGGCACAGGCTCCTGCACGCTCTGGCTGCTGGGAGTCATAAGATTCCTCATAAAGTTGATCTTGCTGTCAGACTCAATCTGCAACAGAAAAGTTGGTTGCTTTTGGCTTTTCTCCATACTCCTTGGCTTTTCCGCACTATTTGGAAATAAACTGCTCCCCCCAGAGCATGAGTCAATAGGTCTGGGCATCCGTCCGAGCATTGGTCAGGGCATCGCTAGGAAACAAAGCTCCTCACTGCAGAATTGCTCGATTGGGGTATCGGTGTTGGGCCCTCTTCTGAGTTTTCAATGCCTTGCAGTGCTTCTGCATGGTCGAAAGCATCGACGACCCAACTACGCGAGGGATGCTGACGAGAGACATGGGGTCTTTCCTCACTGCACACCCCGCGTGCCAGGGCAAACAACTGGTCCTCAACCTGCCCTTCTCTTGAATCCTCGCCATGCTGAGGACTCACAGCAGGTGAAGCCTCCTCAGGCGTCTTGATATTCACCCAAGATTCTTATCAATCTCCTGCGTCTGGCGCCTCATCACGGGGACCATCAGCCGGCACAGGCTCCTGCACGCTCTGGCTGCTGGGACTGTGCAGTCATAAGATCGCAACATCGACGCCCTGCGCAATGGATGCAGACCGCAAAGTTGGGGTCTTTCTTCGCTGCGCACTCTGCGTCAGGACAAACAAGCCACAAACAACTGGTCGTTGCACCCTTTCGTCGGGGTTTGGCCAAAGGGGTCACATCAGGCTGAGGCGACAAAACTGAAAACGTGGAAAACATGGTCCAATAGGCACAGGTTTGGTTTGTTATTCGTATGCTGGAATGCTCTAGAATCCGGAATTGGGACGCGTCCAACTGCCTCCAAACACTGGCAATCAACGGCTGGCACCTCAATCAGATCGTCTGGCATCGGCTCCTGCAGTCGTTCAATCTTCACGTGGCCGTGGCAGCTGCTCAGTCCTGCTCCAGGAACCGTGCGATCTCCTGCAGGCTCCGTGCAGTCCAACCCTCGAAAGGGCTTCGATGTCCTCGTTGACAGCTGCGGCGTCAAGGAGCGCGTCCGCCTCTTCCTCAACCTGCAGGTCATGCGCTCGCGGTCCCCGCCGTTGCGCGCCCAGTGTTACAGGGAAAGCTTCGCCTCATCCTCAGGAGGCTCTTCACCTGGCGAATCTGCACCAAGTCGATTCTGACGACGTGACGCTACGCTCGAAGGCCTTTGTCAGCAGCCGCCTGGGACAGCGTGCCCGCAGCCCTGCGAAAGCATGCCAAGCGGTTCGACAACTCAAGGCAGCGGGCAAAGCCAGCAAAGCAAAAAAGGCACCACACACAAAGTCTTTCAAGCAAGCTGTTGTACGAGGTGGAACTTGCTGGGTTCATACTCTTCGACTATAGCTTCAGAAGCGCATGATCCGTGGGTCTCAGATGACCTGACCAGGCGACATGTAGAGCCATGTGAATCCGACAAGCTCATGAACCTGTCTATTTTTGAGCAAGGAGAAGATTTCCTCTCCGAGCTCTCGTTTCAGTGTTGATACGAGTTCAGAAAAATCCAGCGACCCAATAGATTGTTGTGGTATTTGTTGCTGATGTCCTGCCGGGCCGCTCTGGTTGGAACATTCAAAGTTGGGCCGGGCTGCTCTTCCGTTGAGCCTGTGTTTCTGGGAACTCGGCGGTTCGGGCGGCTCGGGCGGCTTGGGCGGCTCGGGCGGCTCGGGCGGCTCGGGCGGCTCGGCCTGAGGCTGAGATCGTGGAGCTCGTAGCCGAAGAGCGCCACGCGGCTGGCCACGCTCCGGCGCAGCAGCCGCGCCTTGCCCCGACAGGGCCCGGAGAACGAAACCGTCGTTGAAGTGCGCAAAAATGTCGAAATCTGTCAAATTCACGTGTTCATCCGAAAGAATGGGCGAGGATTGCTTAAGCCGGTGTCACTTCATGAGACGGTCGAGACATGGCACTTACGATACATGACAGCAATGGCACACCTGAAGAATCATAGGCTTGTCAAAGGGCGCAAAAGGTGGGTCATACGGGGCTTGTCGCTTTCTTCAGTAGCTTGGCCACCGAGCTGTTGTGACTTTTGTGACTCTAGCCAGCGCATAAAAGCGCCCGTGACAAGTCTTGGGAGGGCCATTTCCTCAACTTGAAGGTTGGCAGGTGCAGCTGTCACTTCCTTTGAGGTCAGGGTCGCTTGACTTCCCCCAAGTATGCCTTACCCGAGGGTTACAGTGTATCCTCTTGTGGGGCTCAGAGACTTGTAGTTTGCGAAACCTGTGGATGTTCATCCTCGGAAAACAAACCAGAATGGTAGATGCTCTCGAGGACATGTCGGAGATCAGCAGCGCCGACTACAAGCTGTTGACTGAGTGACTTATGCACGTGACCTGTGCTTGCGTGTATTCGTACCGGTCCTGCTCTGTACATGCCGATTTAACACTACCAACGATTCGTGCTCTTCTTTTTTCGTGCAACGTACTCATCTACTCTCTGGCATCACTTGACCGCCGGACGTGGCACCGCCTGGTCCTGCTGTGTGTTACAAGCACTTGGGTTTGTCAACTGGACCAACGGGTGTGTGTGTGTGCTCGGGGAGCTCGATGCGGTGTACAGTTGCAAGTTGGGCCTTCTCCCCCGATCGTGGAGCTGGGCACGGAGAAAAAGAAACAAAGGGAAACAAGAAAAGAGAGAGGCGCACTCACAGGGTGGCAGAAGGCGGAGGGTGGCAAACCAAACAATGATTGCTGGAGAAGAAAGAGAAAGGACAAAGGAGGAGGAAGAAAAAGGAATGGGAGCAGATACGCAATGCACGGAAGGACAAAAGGAGGGAAGACAGTGGCACAAGCTGAGACCGGCGACAGAGCTCCAAGCCCCATGCCCGGGAAAGAAAGACACAGAAAGACACAGAAAGACACAGAAACCAGGGCAACCGGCAACCAGCAGCCAAGTCCGGAGTACGAGATCCGATCCCGAGCCTGCTGAAGCTGGGACTCCCGGTGCTCGCTGCGCTCGCGCCACGCCTCGTGGTCCTCGGACTTTCCCGCATCGCAATCGATCTCCGGAGATCAAACAGTTCGAAGACGGAAAAGGGAAAAGAGAAAGAAGGATAAAAAGGCAAAGAGAACGGAAAAGAGAATTTGAAAAGGGAAAAGCGATCCCGTCAACAGATCATTCGACTCGCAAATCGAGGTCCTTTGCCACGGTCTCCAGGTGCCTCGCATGACCGATCTCAGTCTCGTCCCCTCCCCATCCGGGGCTCGCACTGCTCCAGCTTCTCGCGGCGCTTGCTCTCCTCTCCGACTCTTGGAATTCCCAAGAAGCAAATTCTGTGCAATCCTCCAACCACCAAAACTGCATTTCAACTCAGAGGCAGAGCACACATATTGACGCATTGGACGGATGTGCTGGGGAATTCGGAATTCATTCACATTCACTTCTTTTGACTTCCTTCGCATGAGCTTTCTTCAATGTGCGTGCTCCAGCAAATTGCGTGCTCGCACTTACATTGACGACACCTGGATTGACTTCCCATCCCGCCTCCATTCCTTCCCGTCGAACCCTCCGGAACTCCTTGCAAGTCCGGCAAGTCTGAATTGAAAGGGAGAAAAATGAGAATGGGTATATGATATATAAATTATATATATATATATATGTGGTACCCCCCTGGAATACTCAGGTTTTTGGCCAGAAATTGACATGTTGGCTGTAAAAATGCATGCAAAACACACGTTCCAGCTTCTAAAATCAGGCTCTAAAAAATGCACTCCTTTTTAGACTTAAATTCTAGCATCGGTACTTAGTGTAATCCAGGATGTGCTAGCACGTGCTAGCACGTCCTGGATTGAAGATTGAAGATTGAAGATTCTCAGACCACTTGTTCTGGAAATCTTCAATCCGTCCTTAGGACTAACTGGTATGTGCTAGATGGATGTTAGTTTGTCCTCAGGATGGATTGAAGATTTCCAGAACAAGTGGTCTGAGAATCTTCAATCTTCAGTCTTCAATCCAGGATGTGCTAGCACGTGCTAGCACATCCTGGATTACTCTAAGTACATATTTGGAGAATTTCAGAAAGAGTTGTCAGAGAATCTTGAATCTCCCATCCAGATCCTGGATTGCCGTAAGTGCGGATTTGAAGACCGGGAGTGCACATTGTCAGAATCAAAATGTGGATGTGCACTTGCACTGCCTGCAATTGGCCAGGGGGAAAAATGTTGCTGACATCTTTGCATTTTTTGTGGACTTGAGGGCTGGCTAGGATAGAAGATTCTCAAATAGAAAATCTGGTAGATCTTCAATCTTCAATGCAGGGGGCGAAACCTTGATGAGTCTAGAACAAGCTGTCAAGTTTTTGGGGGACCAGGATTGAGTACATTCTAAACATGTGTGTGGAATCTTGTATATTCGATGTTCGATCCAGGGCAACACGATCTGAGCAAATGCTGAAAAACACTGCGTTTTGCAGCATTTATGCAAAGAATAGGATCTATGATTGAAAACACGTTCCTGTCATTGGCTTGGCTCAGTTCTTGCTTGGTTCAAACCACATGGAGTTCGAAGGACAATAACCCTTTCAAAATTGAGTTTGATTCCAAATTTATTTGGCCATGACAATAGCTATCTTCTCCAGTTGATTCTTGAAATGCGCAAGAAACTGCAAACGAGTAAACTTGAATTTGGTTTGAACTCGACAGCTTTTTTTTAACTGGATATTATTCCCTTACTTGAATTTCAATAGTTGTTAGTGGCGATGATGGAACCAACTTAGAAAAGCAACACACGCACACACACACACACACACACACACACACGTGGGATAGTTGATTTGCAACATATGTTTCAATTAGACTGAACTAGCATGTCAGGAATTATGCACAACACTCGAGTTAACATGTAAATGTAACTGCGAAAGGATATGAATAGGAATGAGTACCTTTTCCCCGAAATGATGCTTTGCCGAATTTCGCTGCCAAACAAAAATAATAAACACCAAATAATAGGGCTGCTACAGGCGCGTTGAAGCTGCCAAAACATACTTTGCGCACTACTCCTGTACTGAACAGTTGTATTTTTTTGAGCTGGAGCTGCCAAATTGCACTTTGCATACTCCAATGTGACTTTAAGTGCACTTCGCGCGCCAATGTGACGGTCACACAACTCGCAACTCCTAATCAACGTTGAGCTTAACTTCTGCTTGGTTAGATTGTTACCCCCAGTCTGGCCAAAAACCTCAGTTCTGTCCAAAAACCTGAGTATTTCAAGGGGGGGGTAGCATACATATATATATATATATATATGCAACCCCCCTCCCTCAAAACCCTACTGCCTATGTAAGCAAATGATGACCTTTTTCCAGTCATTTCATACATTTCTGGTCACACACTCAAGCTATTTCAACACAAGTTGCTTGGACAGTTAGCATAACAAGCACAAAGTTTGGTACAGTGAAAAAACGAAGTCTTGGTAGCGTGTCATATTACACAGGGCCAGCCTAATTTTGTTTTGGCATAGTTTTCATCGCTAATGTTATCCTCGCTCAATTGACTGTAAAATATCCCTGTTTGGGTACCCGTGCAACCTCTTCTGTTTCGCCTACACATCTTCGATTTCTCACCTCAGCTGATGTGCAAATCCTATTCGTCTGTCAACTTACAAACCTGTGGCAATACCAAAACATCTGCCACGCATCCTCCATCTCACATCTCAACTACTTTGCAATTCCACTTCGTCTGTCAGCTCACAAACCTTGGCCAATACCAAAACATCTGCTCACACCTCATATGCCCTGACCAATGCCACATTCTGCACAAAACCTGCAAAACAGCATGCAAAACACTGGAATGTACAGTGTTGTTTTCAATATCCAACAATTGGTGTGGAGTTTAAGCCATTCAGCAATATCCAATGTCCACATACTGAACTATCAACTGTATTTACTGCGCCCAAGTCGAAAAGGAAAATACGGTGCACACCCAAAAAAGAATGACTGAAAGCAGACATTGCAAAGCGCGTTCAAGCGCTCTTGAACTAATATTCAAGATTCAACATTCCCCGGACTCTAGATCTTGAATCTTGAATCCAGTATGGGGCCCCCAAAACGCTTTGAAGCGCTTTAAAGCACTTTTAAATCTAAACCACAAATTCAAAATTCCCCGGACTCTAGATCTTGAATCTTGAATCCAGTATGGGGCCCCCAACACGCTTTAAAGCGCTTTAAAGCACTTTTGCATCTGAAATCCAAGATTCAACATTCCCCGCACTCTAGATCTTGAACCTTGAATTCAGTATAGGGCCCCCAAAACGCTTTGAAGCGCTTTAAAGCGCTGTTTCCAAGATTCAAGACTCAAGAACCAGAGTCCTGGGAATATTGAATCTTGAATCTGGGATCCGGAAGTGCTTTAAAGCGCTTTGGGGGTCGTCAATCTGGATTCAAGATTCAACATCTCGTCTCCTGAAAATCTTGAATCTTGAATTTCACATCCAAAAGTGTGTTGAAGCGCTTTGAAGCGTTTTAGGTGGATACAGTCACAGTCAACTGTAAGCAAATGCGAGCATGGTTAAATGCTCAAAGCTGGAGTGCCTGAAAGGGGGCTGGAAATCACGCAAAAAGTACTGCAAATATCGTCAAACTCTCTTGGGGCGTGTTTTTTGCTTTTGTTTTGTTTGTCTTTTTGGGCGGGTACCACACGATATATATATATATATGCAATGCCAGTTGCCTCGTACAAGCGGCTGAGCTCGGCTTCCAGCCGCGTGCCTTGGTCTCTCTCCCTCCCCGTGAGGCGTATCGGACGGGTGGCGCGTCGGGTCTCGCCGCTGGGTCGCCCGGCACTCCCGGCGCAGCTCCTGCGCCTCCCGCTGCGCCTTCTGCACCTCCTCCCGGCCCTTCGCCTAACTCGAACCCAAAGAACTGTCAAGGTCGAAGCTTCGACAACATGCGAAAAGGAAAACAAATTTCAAAAAAGAAAAGAAGAAAAAAAAACGACGCATCGACATGGACTCCGGCCGAGCTGTCGAGCTTCCTGAGCAAAGCTACGCTCGGGAGCTGGTGGGCAGGGCTCGGAACACCTAAGGTCCTGGCTCCACCTGCGCCAGAAAGCATGTCCCAAAGTCTCCCCGAAGTCTCTCCGAAGTCTCGTCAGCCCGTCCCCTGCCTCGCGATATGAGGGCATCCGCTGGATCTCCTCCGGAGCGTCCTCATGAGGCTATCTCCCCATGTACGCGTGATGTGTTGCAGTCTTCCACCTGGGCAGCCTCAAAGCTCATCTGCCACTCCTACAGCCAGCCGCACCAGGCATCTCCAAACATGCTCAACAAGAAACAAAAAAAACATTCGCTGAAAATGGCAACAGCAAAAGTGCCTGAAACTTCTTGCTCCACTTCTTCTCTGCACGCTCTTCGGCCTGAGTGATCTCCCATGCCATGGACAGCACGCGTACCGTACCACTCCCGTGCATCGCACGCTCCGAGCGCCTTTTTGCTTCGCAGGGCGAGCTGCACAGCTTCTGTAGCTGTCAAAACGAGGCCCAAGGCCTCAAACTCTTCCTGCAGTCTGTCACTTGTTGGCATTTCACATACGTTCACATTCGGACACTGGTGTGCACTTCGCATCGCATACTATACAGAACTCATGGTCGGGGTTTCGGCTTCTGTGCTTTCTGTTTGGGCTTCGGAGCTTGGCACCTTCTGGTGGTAGAACTGAGACTGAGGCATCTGAGCACTCATCTGGTTCATCATCATGAACTGCGGCATGAGCTGTGGGCACATGACCATGGGCACCATGCCCGGCATGCCGGGCATGGCCATGCCCATGAAGGGCAGGAACTGCGTCTCGGCCTCCAAGGCCTGGACGGAGGACTCCAAGCTGTGCTGCTTGGTGCAGAGCTCCTGGAGCAGGTCGTAGATCTGGTTGAACTTGGCGGTCTCCTCGCGCTCGAAGTCCTCCAAAGCCTCCGTCATCTCCCTCTGCGCCTGCTGCAGCTTCTGCTCCACGCGGAAGTGGAAGGGGCTGCCGCCCATGGCAGAGGAAGCGCACGGGGCACGGGAGGGAACGACTGACGGGGAAGGACGTGCCAAGCCGCCCAAGTGTTCCGAGCCTGGCAGCGATCGATTTGATGGCCTGGCGTCAATCCCGAGACAAACCAAATGCGAGCCACTGGGACCCGCCGAAGAGCATCAAGCCCGGCACTCGTCTGCGCTCACGCATCCAGTCCGGGACCTGCACCCATGGGCGGAAGCGAGCCCGCAACATGCACGTGGCCTGAGAAGCACGCAACCATCTCCGGGTTTGGTGGAACACACCAATGCAAGGCAACAAAGGGCACGCCGGGCACGCCACGCCTTCTCTGGCTTGGCATCCCGCTTCTCCTTCTCCACAACCTTCAAAAAGAGAACGTGGCCTTCTCCGGTCCGACCCGGCCCAGTCTGCGCCTTCCAGACGTTCTCCCTGCCTGGCGCTCGCTCGTCGGGCAAAGCGGAAGACCGCGGCCGGTCCTGAGAAGGTCACGTCATAGACCTCTTTCAGGAACTGGGCCTCAGGGACGGGAAGGAAGCGTCGGAGCGGAGCACGCAAAAGGTTTCCCGCCTTGGCCTGGCGGCCCAGGACCGGGCCTCGCTTGCCGATGCTGACTTCACTTGAGTCGAACCTGTGGCCCCGGGCTGGAGCGGATCTCTGGCAGCGGCATCCGGGTCTACCCTAAGCCTCGCACATCTCCCCCGCTTGAGAACACAAACGGCACCGACTCAGACAGCTCCGAGGCCGTTCTCGAGGCCACAAGCAGCACCTTCCTTTTTTGAGACTCACCGCCCTTGCTTCTTCAGCGCTTCGTCAGGGGGCAGCAAATCTACAACCTGAAAAGACGACAATTGGATGCTAGCCTCTAGTGGACCCAAGAACAAACTACATGTTGATGCCGGCAATTTGACTGTGTGCGGCACGCTCGTCTTCGACAAGTGCTCCTGGGGTTCTGTCCACGCCCAACTTCGAGAGCCAGCAATGTCACAATGTCGGCGTGTCGGAATGTCCTGAGTGATGTGCGCGCGATAGTTCTGGGTCTCCGGGTTCAGAGACGCCTCGGCGTCGGTGCATCTCGAGCCCGGGCTTGGGCCCATTGGGGCCTGGATCACCTCGTACCTGATCATGTCCGTGCCCGACTTCAGGTCCGCGACCTCGGCTTTCCGACAGGCGACGCGCCAAGCTGGAGCCGAGAGCGAAGCCCAGGCGTCTTCCGACTTGAGGGAGGCTTGCTGACGCAGGGCGCGGGCCGTCTCCGCCCTGTACTGGCAGTTCGCAAACAAAAAGTAGCACTCCGGAGAAACCGAGAAACCGCCTGAGCTGCCGCTGAATCTGCGGGTCAGCCGCAAAGGTCGTCTTCACCGCACGGCAAAAGTCCCGGTACCTGAGCGCGCACTCGAGTTTTCGAATCGCGGCGCGCGATGGAAGGGGCACGCGCCGGCAACACGTAGAGATCTTACGGCCATCACTCGAATCGATCTATCTGCTTCCTGGTGCGCCCAGGAGCTATGCGTCTGTCAAACCTGCAACATCTCCCAAGGTCACATTGACCCTCATGACATGCATCCCATTCCCGCTCTGGATAGGCATGAAAGCGTTTCTCAGATGTGGCATCCTGAAAGCTAGGAAAACCTCAAAATGCTTAAGAATATGGCTCCGACAACTGCAAAAGCAATGCGCAAAATGCAACGATTGCGGTCCCTCAACAAGCCAGCACGCCAAACTCAAATGTGACCAGCCACTGGCCACTGATGAAGGATTCTGAAGCGGATGATCTCAAATCGTGTGCTAATCATGACACCAACTGGTCGGTGCAAGACACATCGGCAATCTCTTCTTGAGCTTTTCCGCATTCTTGAAAATATCGGAATCTTCGGGTGCCTTTCTTGTTCCATGTGATGACATGACCTAAAGATTAATTGCATTTGCATCTTCATCCTTGCATGCATACGATCAATGGGCGTAGATTTGTGAGGGTATCTTGCCTTTCGCGTAAGGACAATCGGAAGGTCAAGCACTATTTGTTAGGTCCCCATTTACACCTGCATGCATCCACAGCATCACGCTACATGCTGTTTGCTGAGAAGACTGCAAAAGCCCTTGAAGTGAGTCAATGAGCCAAGGATGCTCTCAAACAAATACCGCAGGTGTGAATTGCTTGCAAGTATCCTCAAGCGACTGCTTTTGAGTGGCGTGTACGTCAGATACTGGCCCCCGGGGCTCGTCATGGGCGCTCAAGACTCTGTGACTCCGATGGGCGCTGACTTCCCGCTTTTTCCCGGTAAGCTGAAGTGCAGTCGGTGAAAATGTGCCACAAATGCAGAGAGGCCCGGGCTCCTCCCAGTCGTCCCAACGCGCATCAGGGGCGAAATGGAAGCGACGGGCCGCTCTGCACGAGTGACGCACTGGGCACCGGCATCGCCAGGTGCCAATGTTCGACGTCTGAGCCCGGCCTTATGGGAACTCTGAGCGAGTCATACATGCCGAGCAATTCGAGCAAGGTGTCCAAATCCTTAAAACATCTTAACACCCTTCACCGTGTTGCGATTTGCGTCACTCCATCTGGAAACCCAGCTCTCATCGACGAAAGGTAACTGCCAGCGCCCAAGAAAGCTGCTGGCATAGGCAGGCACAGTGCTTCCGACACTTTCCAGGCAGTCGGGGGCTCGGGACTAAGTTGGTCGGTGTCTCAGCAACTTTGCTGCGGGCATTTTCGTTGTGCGTCCTTCCACTAAGCGGAGAGACAAGCCAAGGCCGCCAAGGAGCCAAGCGCCTGGCCACCAAAAGCCCCCCTCGACTCTTACGAGTCAAACGCATTTGCCAAACGGACTCAGCTGGGTCCCCGACAAATCGCAACTGGGTGCTGCCGGAAATGGAAGCACCGTCGTCCACCAGGGTGGTCGTCTGGGCGCTTTAACATGAGATGACTGTACCCCAAAGTCGAAACCAAAAGCTGCCCGCACTCTCGACCTGTGTTTCATGGCAAGACCACAGCATCTTGCGTCCGTGACACCGTCGTCATGGTCATGGTTGTCGTAGCCTGCAAGCGACGCTAATCCATGGTTCGCAGCATGTTTCCTTCAGCCAAGGTTCTGTGCTCGTGCTCGTCATGCTGATGGTGGTGGTTGACGTGGTGGTCAAATCAACCAGATCGATCACAAGTCCTGGTGCTGGCAAAAGAATCGCATGTTCTTCATTGTGTGTGTGCGCATGTAAAAAGACGTGTGTGTGTGTGTGAATGCTTGAATGTGCTTGTGCTTGTGTGTGTTTGAGATTCTTGACATGTCGAACGACGGCCATCTGCTTAGACACGCTGAACTGCTCCAAGGCGCCGTCATCAAGGTGCGATGTTACCCCACCAGAGATTGCGCCAGGGACCACCACGAGCTTCGTGAAAGTCTCAGTGTTGTTCTGTTTTCTGTCCGACATGAAACTGTGCCAAAGCTGACTTCATCACACGGCTACACATAATACACGATCCTTTAAATCAGCTGCCCCTCTGGCAGAAAAATCCTCAACAATCAAATTGCCTCTGCTACCACTGCACCTTGTGCTTGGAAGCAGCCCCCACGCAAGCTAGCTCACTGAAGCCTACTGCATCAAACACTCCTGGGCCATGCCACAAACGTAACCTTGGCCAAGTCCATCGAAGATCGTGGTTGCAACATATCCCCTCTGTCTTCCGCTTACTTTGTCTACAAAACAAATGTTTGTGTACAAGTGCAGCGAATGCATCTGTGCTCTACGCCTTTCGGTCATTCCGAATTTCGGTAATTCCGATTGGCTGTAGTCTCAGCGATGCCAACTTGCATTTCCGCCAAGCCTCAGCCGGGAATGCCCATGTTTTCACTCTGAGCGCCGAGCAAAGCTGGTCATGTTCAGCTCCACTGAGTACTTGGTGTGCTCGCAGCACTCTGCATTTGGTGTGCCTTATCAAAATTTATCAAAACAAAGACATCTCCAGGCCAAGTCTGCAACGCCATCATGCCAGGAGACTCTTGGTCACCGTCGCAAGCGGAGAAGCATCCTTCTCAATGTGGCCACCTCAGCTTTTCTGAGAGACAACTGAGACGCGAACATGCGATTCGCAGCTGAAAAACATAATAGTTGTAATAGTCAACGCGAGTTTCACCGCGTGCTCTTGAGCCATTTCAAAAGCGCCCGAATGTGGCGATGCAGCGATGGCACAATCATCCACGGGGAAAACGAGGTAAACGTCCACCATGCTCTCGTCCACAGTGCCATTCTTCATGTTCGGGCCGAAGGTCAGCATGCCTTTGGGCAGTTGCATGACGGGTGGCTCAATTGCTCGACAAAGCCTGAATAAGCTAAAAGGTTGACATCCGTGTCGACGTATGAGCCACTGCCTGAGTTCAAAGCATGTTTCTGCACCAATGCGAATTGCAATGAGGCCGGTGCAAGCACGGCATTGAATATATGGCTCCGCAGCATACCTTCAAACATGTCTATGTCGGAGAAGACACCACGCAACATTTGAGTACTCTGGCACTCAAAGCGAATCTGAGGATGTGGCAACTGTTGTGACACCAGATCTTTCGGACAGAACCACTCATAACTCCCTTCCAACAGGCATCCAGCCAACGCCGATGCACTCCTCAGCAAAGTGCCAAATGCAGGATCTCCCAGTGTTCTGAAGTGAATCTGAAAGCATTGTTCGGCAAGTCGTATAAGCATCAACACCACTAGGAGTCTAGGGTGGGATCAAGGTGGGCTTGAGGATCCGCTTAGGGTGGGTTCGAGGTTGGAACTAGGGAGCAGTTCGGGGTTAGGGTGGATTTTGGCAGGCAATAAGATTCGGGGCTGGTTTGCAATTGGCGTTGGGTTTTGGTGTCGGCTTAAAGTTTAGGGTGGGATTTGGCTCAGTGTTTGAGCACGTTTGATCTGAGTTTCGGGTTGATTTCGCAATTCGCGTTGGCTTCGAGTGGGCTTAGGGTCGGGTTAAGACTCAGGGTGGGTTTAAGATGGGTCTGAGGGCAGGGGTCCATGGGATTGAATTGGTTTAGGGCAAGACCAGCTGACCAGCGAAAGGAAGAAGGTGCAACTTGCAAATCCAGAGTCCCTGCGCCGAAGGTAATGTTGCAGAATGCGGACTCGCTCAAGCCTCAGTCGCCAAATGGCCATGTCGCTCCAATGGCCATGTCGAACCAGTTTAAACTCGCACACTCTTGGTCAAGCCGCCGTCGCAACTGGAACTTGCAGCGCGGTCCATTTGAGAGAACTCCTAGGCCGTTGAATCATATTGAAACACGCACTGAATCTGCTCAACTGCTCGCCTCGCCATCAGCACTCTGCTCGAAAGGTGTGACGCACGTCAAAACAAGTGTCCTTGGCTGGAAGCATGAGTCCAAATGTCTGGACATTGGCATTGCCACCAAAAGCAACACAAGCATGTCATTTGTGTTTGCAGACTTACACGTGGCACAAACACTAGTCATGTCCAGGACAGGCACGTTGTAGTAGTTCCGGTGGATGTCACCTTCAGTCTTGTTGCTTAAACGTGCGCACCCGACTCTGACTGCACCATCTCAGCAATCCAAGAGCATGTCCTGAATGCATGTTCGGCCAAGGAGCTGATGTGGTGCTTGTCGCTGTTTTTGAGGTGGTTGTAGCAGTACTGCTGGTTGTTGTGGCTGTGGTTGCGGTTGCTGTCACGCTGGTTGCTGTAACGCTGGTTGTTGTGACCGTGGTTGCGGTTGCTGTCACGCTGGTCGCTGTCACGCTGGTTGTCGTCACAGTTGTTGCTGTAATGCTGGTTGTTGTGACCGTGGTTGCGGTTGCTGTCACGCTGGTCGCTGTCACGCTGGTCGTCGTCACAGTTGTTGCTGTAATGCTGGTTGTTGTGACCGTGGTTGCGGTTGCTGTCACGCTGGTCGCTGTCACGCTGGTCGCTGTCACGCTGGTCGTCGTCACAGTTGTTGCTGTAATGCTGGTTGTTGTGACCGTGGTTGCGGTTGCTGTGACAGTTGTGGCCGTGCTGCTAGTCGTGGTGACACTGGTTGCTGTTGAGCTTGTTGTGGTGGCACTTGTTGCGGTGGCTGTGGTTGAGGTCCCTGTGACGGTTGATGATGTAGAAGTAGTAAATGTTATGCTAGTTGTTGAAGTGGTGGTGCACTCATCTTCGCCCATCCTTGACTTGCAGCCGCCCAGATGACAACATATATGTATCTGACAATGTATCTGCTGCACACTGCGTCAGTTGGATAATTTACGATGCACATGTGACAACTCCAAGGAAAAGAATGCAATGCAAATTCGAGCATCGGCAGCACCAGCATACCGGGAAAAAAGACCCTTCCGTCTGGAAAGCCGGCCCAGCATGACCTGAGACAAATGTTTCAGAACTTGTTTCAGAACTTGTTTCAGCTTGTCTTCGGAACTGGTTTCAACTCGGCCGGCGGCTGGCTGTGGCACAGCCAAAGCTGCGCCAAGAACACCAGGGAGCGCATCATGACTCCTGAATCCAAATACTCAGTTCATCACAAACAAGAAAAAAAAAAAAAAAGGAAAAAACGTGCACTTCGCGAAAAGCTCCTGATTGACCAGACTTGCCGATAATTTCCGTGGCTCGGCTCCGTCCGACTGTTGAACCAAAACATGCATCACAACCACAGTTTCCTTCAGGGATTCAAGCCTTCAAGCACAAGTGGTTTCACATGAACTGTAACAAGTTGAACAAAACCAAATCAGCATGCGCCAAGGTATGATTACCAAAACAATATCCGGGAACCGCACGGCACATACAACACACGCCTCCAAATGAACAACCAATACCAAAGATTCAGAAGGTTACGCAACCATCGCCAACACCGACTTTGCGCCCACCGCTCACCGCTCGAGGTGTGCGAGCCATCTGGAACCGAATACACGTGAACGTGCCCATCGTTGCTTGCTATGGCACATGTTTTCACAATGGAAAAGTACACGTCTAAAACCACATACCCCCGAAAAAGATTGACAACAAAGTACCATGGGAGCCACCCCCAGCCAGAGACATCCAACACGATGTGGGTCTTGTTCTTTACGGTCTCGCCTCAGAAAATCGGCGGGTGGCCTCCACCATTCGGCTGTTCGGTTGCGGCTTTGTAAGGCGAATCATTGTGACCGTCTCTGGACACGTGTGGCCCTTGTGTTCGACAGCGGCGGGCGAAGCATACTTTCCCATCAATGTCGTGAAATACCTTGAAGGCTTCATGGCCTGGCTCAGCGCATATTCTATAGGAGTGCCTGACACTCAACGTACAAGCAGCTGGGGGCCAAACAACAAAGGTAAATCGGCACGTGGCCTGGCGAGTTGAAACATCCAGCGTTGCGGGCAGAAGTTCATCATCTGGTCGAAAAACATCACAATCAATAGCTATCACACGTATGTGTCATGCAACGCTACGATATATTGCGTTCATCAAAGCGCACATCTTCCGCCTCCGACACTTGTGACGATGATTTTCCATGGATGATGCTTTGTCAGGCAAAGAAAGGTTGCACCCGTCTGCTCAGCCGCACACGGAATGTTCCCCTCGTGTTCGGCTACAGCGACGGCACCGGCGTTTTTTGTTACATTTTTTTAAAGATGTGAATTTGGTTTTGAGTCAAAACGTTTTGGACCGCATTTCGGCCAACGATAAGATCTAGGAGCGCCTGACACTGAACATACGCAGGGCGACCATCAAAACTTGACCGGAAATCAGTCACCCGTGCGCGCGTCACGCCAACACCTCGCTATCTCTGCGCGAAACCTCCAGGTTCGGGATAACATCTAAGAGCAAACCCACATATTCTGTGTAAACATGCAAAAAAGTATCTTCTCAAGGGCCGGCTGCATTGGACCACCATCTACCGGACCTGCAAACACGACTTGTAAGGAGATACAAGTCCTCACAGGAGGAAGTAGAAACGCAAGCGCACCAGAAGATACAGATACGACTCCGTGGCACCGAGGCAGCGCCGAGTAGTCTTATCAAACGCAACTGCTCGTTCCAACCCAAATCCATTTGATGAGCCATGTTGTCCTTGCGCGGCTTTCCAACGTGCGTCGCCGTTTCAACGGCGTCCAACAAGAGTTGGTCAAAACCACCTCCGTGCAAAGGCCCACGAAGTCCCAGCACACATGTACGAAGAAAAAGGGGCGTAGCACTTGTTTTGACTCTCGAGCCCGCCCTAATGCGGCATGAATGTATATCAAGTGTTCAGCGAACTCTTCACACACGGGCAAAAAAGGAAAATGATGCTCCCTGCTCTTCACAGTCCCTTCGGACGCAAGCAGTCTTGACACGGGATGCATGCACACATTGCATGGCCCTTCACATGTCCGCAGTCCCGCACGTGGAAGCAGTTCCCGAACTTCGTCACGACAATCTCGTGGGGGGCCACGATCACTTTCCTGCTCGCCTCCGAACTTTCCAGCCGCCGTTGCAACCATCGGTTCTCACTCAACTTCTCATTCTCGCTCCTCACCTTCTCAGCCGCACTCTCTGGCACTGCTGTGTCTCACCATCTCGCACCTCTCTCTGCTTGCCTTTCACATACTGCACCGCGATCACTGTCATGGACATCACAAAAGTCATGATCAGCAGCCCTCCGCCGATGTTCATCAGGTCCACCGCATCGTGGGCCTTCACGCCCAGGCTCTCTGCAGCCAACTTTTTCATTTTTCCCGAAAGCATCGCGAAGGGCTCTTCCGTGCGGAGCCCTTGGACAAGTTACACAGAGCCAAGTTGCACAGAGCCAAGTTGCACAGAGCCAACCTTCTCTGTGCGTTTGGCTCCGAGCACCATGGCCGGCGCTATTGGTTTTGCTGCAACTCAGAGCTATCAGCAAGCGGCTGCACCAATCTTACAGGGACCGAGGCACAAGCCGGCGCACACAAAAACCCACAAACGCACAACAAACACACACACAGACACACGCAAACACAGAAACACACACACACACACACACACACACACGCAACACACACACACAACACACACACACCATCTTGAGGTCTGCCTCGGCCCTAATCACAGCTTGCCTGCGCGGCAATCACCCTTGACCAACAACCAACGCCCTCACGCCTCTCAACACGGTCGTCATCCCAAGAAGGCCTGGCCGGTCACAACACACAAACACACACGCAGACTGGCCGGTCACAACACACAAACACGCAGACAGCACGCACAAATACAGAGACGCACAATGGATGGCCATGACCCAAACTGTCAGACGCAATGTTGTTTCAGTCGCCCTCAACCAGCAAGCGGCGCCCTTGCCTCTGCGCACTGGCCCGCAACCAGCAAGCTCTGGACACGGTCATCACAAAGAGGACCTGGCCGAGCAACACAAACGTACTGAAGCTGAAGCTGTGAGCGCTGCACGATTCTTCCCGACAATTTTCACACATTGAGCGTCAGCTGCGTGTCTGGGCTGGGAGCGTTGCCCAGCATCAACCTGCGCTGCTTGCGCTGAAGCCTTGGAAATGTACAACTACGCGATTCCCAGCTTTGGAAAGCCAATCATGGTGCTCCAGGTAAGATAAGTTCTGGGTTGAGTAGTTCAGTGTGGCCACAACTGGAACTCGAAACAAATACTTTTCGTACTTGCATTGGCCACCGGGCGTGGTCCCAAACTCCAGCTGGGTGTTGTATTTGCCTTGAATCTTGTCTTGGTTCTCAGTAAGAAAGCTTAAATCCCGGACATCGTCCAAAATAATACCATCGTGGAGCTTCCGGTCAAACGAACGCAGCTTGTCCGGGAAATACAAGAGAGGGCCGATCTTCAACTCCAAAGCATTCTGAAACAATGAGTGGGCGAACTCTGTTTTGCCAGACATGGAAGGGCCCAATAACAAAAGCACAGAGTAGCGCAAGGCATCTTCTCTGAAAAGAGCTTTCCAGGCTGTCACCTCCGGGATGTCTGGGAACGTTTGATACAAAACCGGGTTGGAGCGAATCCGCTTGGTGTTCTCTGCAACTACATCCGCAAGCTCCAGGCTTTCTTCGCGCTCCTTGACTGCGTCTAGATTGCGTTTGCGAGCAACAACGCCATCTCGGCTCAGGAAAAGGTACTCTTCATACATTTCAGTCGAGAGCTTGCGTTGCTTCCAAAGCTTTTCTGGCCACGCTCCCAGGACCTGGTAGCGAAACTTTTCGGCGGTCCAGACGGGGGCATAGTTCCCTGCAACGCACAAGTTGCCTTCAGGGTCGCGAACTGTTCCTATCTTGTTGGCCCACACATAAAAGAAACCCCTGTCCACGCTGATTTGCAGCTTCTTCCTGCAAAGGCCTTCGCCGCAAAGGTCTGTTGGTTGAACATTGGGCCTCACACCAGCAAACTGGAAGGCAGTTGCAGACATGTCCACACTGGAGTGGACTTGCAACATCACATGCGCGTGGCAGCTACTTCCATCCACACACGCCTCCAGCGTCGTGCACCAATGCTTTACACGCCACGGCTTAAGCTGGTTGACAATGAACATGTTCAAGCACACCCATTGCTCCAACCCGCTGAAGGCTTGGTAGGTCAACAGGACAGACGCTGCTTGGACGCGAAACTCCTTGCCCTTGGCAGCGGGTTTTGTAGAGCCTTCTGCCGGCGCCAAGACCAAATCTGCAGCCGCCTGCTTTGTGTTGGCCTTAGCCTGATCCCAGGCCCTGCGGGCATCATTGATCTGCTGCTGGTGCGCAACACTGCCACCACGGTCTGGGTGCACTTTCAAAGCAAGCTGCCTGAAAGCTCGCAACACTTCAGCATCCGAAGAGTCGCGGGTGCATGAAAAGTGTACTTGGTAGAGTGCTGCCAGGGAGCGCAGAAGAATGACCAAGGCTCGCTTGGCCTTCACAATGGCCGACGTGGCCATGATTGGGGCTTTGAGCCAAGCGCGCTTGGCTGCTCTTGTTTGCCCACGCTTGTCACCCCCCGCCCCCACTCCTCCGCCGCTCCTCCGGCACTCCTCCGCCCCCAAACACTGAAAAAACGCACGCAAACTCAACACAAAGGCGGAGGAGGGCCTGAAACGCAACGCAGTTTTCCCTGCGCTGCGCGCAACTTGGCTCCTCCACCCTGTTTTAAACATATATTATTATATACTTCAGGAGTGGCTCCTCCGCCCCGAGCCCCCCGCCCTTGCCCCGTCCCCGAGCCCCCCACCCTTGGACCCTTTGCGCTAGGAGTCTCAGGGGGAGAGGGGTGGCCCATTCGCCAAAACTGTCCCAAGCATCTGGCCAAGAAGACTTGTCAAGCGGGTTTCTTTTTAGAAGACGACTGTGCCCCCACCCCGAGCGCCTGCAAACTGCTGGCCTTCATCGTCACCAACTTGGTGGCCTGGCGCACGGCCAACAACCTTGCAAGCTTGCCCTTGCTCAACTCGTGGCAAGCAGCCCTCCACTGTTTTGGGCCCGCCTTTCCCCCACTGCCGGGGCACTGCTGTCACTGCACACGCCGCGCTACCCGGACACTGAGGAAAAACTCTGTCCTGCTGGCCACGCGCACCAAAAAAAACGCTGTACCAGGTCTCAGCCACTAGGGAGTTCACTGCCTGGCACAAGAAGTTGCTGCCAGCGAAAACCAAACAATGTCGGGCCTTCCGCCCCTTTCTCCTTGGCGGCAA